GATCAGCTCTCTCAATTGCAGTGTACAGTTGAAGACCTAATGTTAAGGTATTACAAAGGCGGTGCAGCCGCAGAAAGTGATAGTGAATATAAGAAAGCTCTTGAAAAGAAAGGAAAGATTATATGAAGTACAAAGCAAAAAGTGATGTGATCATACGTGATATAAAGAAAGAGTTAGAATATCTTGATAAAAGATATGCAGTTGAAGAAGTTAAGTCTGAGTGCTCGGAGAAATTAAGTGCTAAATCAGTTGCAGAAAGTGTCTCAGCTATGTTGTTAAGTAAAAGAATACAAGCTGAAGCCACAAAAGTTAAGCTTGAAAGTGCATTGAAAGAAGCAGAAATAAAGAAAAGAAAAGCAAAGTTACAGTGTGAGGAGGCAGAAATTGAAGCAGAATTAGAATTATGTGTGTCTCGTCGCAATGCTCAGTTGGCTGAAGTTGAGTACAGAGTAGTGTGTGAGAAAGTAGTGATAAGTTGTCATCTATTTCAGGTAGAATACCTGGTGTACAGTTACAACAGAAAGTTCTTTCACAAGAACTCCTGCAACAAGAGACAGCAGATTCTTTAAGTCGTGTCAAGCAGTACGTGGAAGATCAGAACAAGGTACCAGAATTTGATCTCAACCCTTCTTTGGAACAAGCTATGCCTGTCATACAACCTCTTCGTAGTCAGCCCAGTGATGCCAAGGCTAATCCTGTGAGTAACAGTTGTTGTGGAGAATTGTCGCGTTTCCTTTTGAAGAAGGAACTTTCCCTGGCACGTTTCAGTCCATTTGATGATCGCCTCTTACTTACTTTTCCAAATCTGCATGTTACGTCTTTGGAAGAAGTTGACCTTTTACCGGGGCCCTGAGTCGTCCAAATTTGCGCAGAGTATAAGGACTTCCAATATACATGATCCAAGTAAGTGCATCAAGTTGATATGGAAGAGGCTTGAAGATAGATATGGCAGTCCTGAGATTATTGAAGCATCTATCAAGAAGAAACTAGAAAAGTTTCCTAAGGTTACGTTCAGAGATCCCAAGAAACTGTATGATCTGCATGATCTTCTTTGCGAAGTACAGTCGCTTAAAGAAAATCCACTTTACGAGAAACTGTTTGGACACTTTGACACATCTGCAGGAATAAACCCTGTGATAAGCAAGTTACCTCCTTCAGTACAAGGAAAATGGCGAGACAAAGCATCCAACTACAAGAAAACACAAGGTGTGTTATTCCCACCCTTTCTTTATTTTGTAGACTTCATTTCTGACGTTGCACAATCCATAATGATCCAGGATTTAATTTTGAGCCAGAAGTAAAATCTCATATAGACAAGACTTCAAAGCTAGATAAATTTAAAGTAACTACAAAGAAGACTGTAGTGCCTGATGAAGAAGCCCTTAAATGTATAATACATGGGACCAACCATTCTCTACATGAATGTAAAAGCTTTAAAAGTCTTTAGAAGAACGCAAGAAACTTCTGAAAGAAAATAGAATATGTTTTAAGTGTTGCATCTCGAAGAACCACTTAAGTAGAGATTGTCCAGAGGACATAACCTGTAAAGACTGTGGAAGTAAATACCATTGCACTGCTATGCATTTGAAGAAATTTCAGTCTGTTCCTGAGACAAGTACTAAGGCTCATGGCAGGGAGAAGCCGGAGCAGAGTGTTGTTAAAGAGTCAGTACGTGAACAAGCTTTAGATGTGACCAACAAGAGTACTGGTGTATGTGAGGAATTTCCTGGAAAGTCTTGTGCTAAAATTTTGCCAGTTTACGTTTTTCATGTGAGTAACCCGAAGAAGCGTATGAAGTCATATGTTATATTAGATGATCAGAGTAACAAATCTTTAGCTAAAGGAGAGCTTTTAGATTTCTTTGATGTTCGCTCTGTGGCAGAGGAATACATCATAACTAGTTGCTCTGGCCGTTCAGTTATGACAGGAAGGAAAGCTGGTGGACTATGCATACAAGCTGTTGATGGTAGTCTACAGATGAGCCTTCCTACAGTCATCGAATGTGATGAACTTCCTAATAATAGGACTGAGATTCCAACTCCCAACATTGCTCGACTTCATCCACACCTCAAAGACATTGGTTCAGAAATTTCACCTCTTGATGATCAGGCTCAGATTCAATTATTGATTGGTAGAGATCTACCCGAAGCTCACCATGTACTAGATCAAGTAACAGGTCCACCAGGTACACCCTTTGCCCAGAAGATGAAGTTAGGCTGGGTAATTATAGGTGAAGTCTGCCTGGGGAAGCATCACGCAACAAAGAATGTGAATGTAAGGAAAATATATGTAAATCCTGATGGTCGTCCATCAGTCTTGAAGCCTTGTCCAAGTTGTATATGTGTACAAGAGGACACAGGATATCACAGCGGTTTTACACCATGGAAGGAAAATTATATTGGTTCTACAGTGTTTCACCGAACCAAAAATGATGATGAACCTGGAAAATCCACAGAAGACAAAATGTTCTTGAAGTTAATGGAGAAAGAATTTGTCAAAGAACCAGCAGGTAACTGGAGTGCACCTTTACCTTTTAAGCCCTTAAAGAAAAGATTACCGAACAATAAATCCATGGCTGTGAGACGTGCCAATAGCCTAGCCAAGAGTCTTCAGTTCAATTCTGTCAAAAAAGAATTGTATGTCTTTTCGGATGCTTCCAAAGAGTCAATTGCTGCTGTCTCATATTTGAAAACTGTACACGAAGATGGCAGTTCAGAAATTGGATTTGTGATGGGTAAAGCTAAAATTGCACCCTTGCATGGGCATACTATACCTCGTCTAGAATTGTGTGCTGCAGTACTTGCAGTAGAACTTAGTGAAGTGGTACTTGAGAACCTTGATGAAGAAATTGATATAGTGAAATTTTACACTGACAGTAAAGTAGTTCTTGGCTACATCCACAACCAAACAAGACGATTTTATGTGTATGTTGAGAATAGAGTGAACCGTATTCACAGGTCAACTAAGCCAGAACAATGGAATTATGTTCCTACATCTGTGAATCCAGCTGATCGAGCAACTCGCTCTATGGTGAATGATTTCTCGTGTGACGACATATGGCTGAAAGGACCTGAAACATTCTTGAGTAGGCGTCATGATCTTGCTCAAGAAACTCCACAGCTAGTTCAACCAGAAGATGATAAGGAAGTAAGGCCAGATGCTCTGGTAAAGGCAGCTAAAACCTGTGTGATTGACAATTTATCAATTGGGTGTCACAGATTTGAAAGGTTCTCTGAGTGGTATCGCCTAGTAAATACTGTTGCTTTATTGCAGAGATGTGCATGTGCCAAATCATTTAAAGGTAGAGCTGATAGAAGTGTAGAGTCTTTCAGAAAAGCTGAAATATTTGTGATCAAAGCAGTTCAAAAGGAAACTTACAAAGAAGAAATTAGACTTCTGAAGCAAAAATGCATCTTCCAAAATCTAGCTTGATTATGGCTCTCAACCCGTACTTAGATGAAGATGGTGTGTTAAGGTTGCGGAAGATTGCAACAATCAAGTCTTGGAAGTTACCAGAAACATCCAATCATTTTGCCTGGTAAAAGTCATACACTTATAGTACGTCACTATCACCAAAGTGTTCGACACCAAGGACGTCATCTTACAGAAGGAGCTGTTAGATCTGGTGGATATTGGATTACAGGCGTGAAACGGTTGATCTCATCAATCTTACACTCCTGTGTCCAGTGTAGAAAGTTACGAGGTAAAGAAGAAGTCCAGTTGATGAGTGATCTACCAGCAGATCGCTTAGAACATACTCCACCTTTACCAATGTTGGAGTTGATGCTTTTGGACCTTGGACTATAACGACACGCAGAACTCGTGGTGGATCAGCAAATTCTAAACGGTGGGCTATTTTGTTCACTTGTCTTACAACAAGAGCAATACACATTGAGTTGGTAGAAGAAATGTCCTCTTCAGCTTTTATTAATGCACTTAAAAGATTTGAAGCTCTCAGAGGTAAAGTTAAACTGTATAGATCTGACCGAGGAACCAACTTTGGGTGCAACTGATAGCCTCAAGATAGATGCAGTAAATGTGGAAGAAAAGAAGATAGTAGACCATCTGTACCAAACAGGCACTAAATGGATCTTCAACGCTCCCCATTCATCGCACATGGGAGGTGTATGGGAACGCCTCATTCGAATCTGCCGGAAGATCTTAGAGTCAATGCTAGCTGAAACTCCTTATAAACTTTGACGCATGAAGTGTTATCAACCTTCATGGCAGAAGTATGTGCCATAGTGAACAATCGACCAATAGTAAACGTATCAACTGATCCAGAAAACCCTTTCATCTTGTCACCTGCCACCATTCTTACTCAGAAAGTTGGAATAGACCATGTAGAAGATTCAGTAGGAGAAATTGATACAAAAGACCTTTTGAAAACAGAATGGAAACGTGTTTCTGCCCTCTCAGAATATTTTGGAATCGTTGGAAAAAAAAAATATCTGCACACACTCCAAGAACGTAGAAAATGGTGTTGTGCAAAACCTAGTCTCACTGAAGGTGATGTTGTGTTATTGAAAGACAGAAGTGTTTGTCGTACACAATGGCCATATGGAATTGTTGTAAGAGCTATCCAAAGTGAAGATGGCAAAGTAAGGAAAGTGGAGTTAAAGGTTATGAGAGATGGAAAGCCAGTTGTGTACACAAGACCAATTTCAGAGTTAATTCTTTTGGTTTCTGGTGCTAAGTAGCTATTTTTTATTTGAACAAGTCACATTTCAGTTCCTATTTGTCATTTAATCAGTATTAGAGTAGTGATATCAAATTTGTTGATATCAGGCAGGGAGTGTAAAGGAATCAAGGATTCCTTGTCTGATATTATATATATAAAGTTTAGATCAAGAATTTATTTGATTAATTTAACATGAGAATGATTATTTAATTTCATTTAGTTTGTAATGTTGGCTACAGTGACGTTAGAGTTGTACGAACGCCCTACAAAAACGCATTGTTGTGAATCCGCGGAGCCCCTCTAGAGAGCCACGTGAGACGTCTTGTGCTGCGTACTTTTAAATTATTCTTGTTTTATGAAGATTTGGGCCAGCCACACTGTAAGTCAACTATTTATACTGTTAATAATGTATTGTTCAGATGTTAGAGCATATGTTAATAACAAAGTTGTGTCTTTTATGTGATATATAACTTGAAATTATGTGATATAAGTAAGTGCCATTCCTATTGTACTCTTATATTTTTACCAAGCTTTATTTCAGTTATTTACCAAAGAATAATGTTTTGTTTCCTTTTCATTTAATGAAAGTATCTAGTCTTTAGTTATTGATCTTTTATAAAGTGTCTTAATTAATTCAGGAAATGTCATAAGATAGTATAAGGAATAAGAAGTCATTTGTTTGTTTAATGTTTATGTATATGCTAGTCTTGCAGTATTTTTATAATTTTCTATTGATTTGTTCTTAATATTTCTATCTCATATTGTATTAATATTATTTGATATTTGTATGATTCATTTACTTTATTTGTGTACAACTTTTTATTTCCAAAACTGAGATTTATTTTCTTACAGCTTTTCACCTCACATCACGTGCACACTCACGCGTACGTGTATGTTGTCATCTTGCAAGTTGGATACACTGCTCATGCCTACCAGCTTGTGATCATGACAATAAAGGTTTAACTGACTGCTAGTGTTTTACTGGAGGCAGTACAATTCCCCTGACAACTGAAATAGCATAACATTTTTTGTTTGGGCTTCTTTGAGTACTGGGTTAGGAATTGTTTTCCTTACTGGCTGAAGTTCTTTCCGACTTTGTTCCGATGTTGTTTGGAAGGTAGGTTTGTTTTGTTTCACAGTCAAACACTTTCCTTAGTTTACGTTTACCGGGATAGATGTTTCCTTTTTGGCGGTTCAAACGAAAAGTCCCGTAGATTAACTGTGTAGTTCAATGCAGACTAACTGTGCATCTGGTAACACACATCTGGGTATGTAACTCACACGTGCCCACGCTCGAATACATAGCTCGCCCATAAACTGCCTCAGTTCGCGTCTACACTATCATTTTCCAGGTACTCGCCCTTATATTCCAGGACCCCAGGTGGCCACTCATTGTAAACGGGCCTGAAGGGTATAACGATGGCGAGTTTCTAATCTTTTAGTAGTTTTCCCTCACTGAAATTAAATAAAGGAGTACATAGCTCTTCGGCACATTCCAAAAGAACCCAGTTAGAAATCTCACCTGGTTCCTCTATTTCAGTCTAGTCTAATCCTAGTAGTAGCTCTGTAATTTCATTATATTTAAGGGTAATATTTTCGATGTTGTATACGTTGGTACGGGGTTTTGCCATTTCAAAGTATGGGTTCTGAACAAAGATTGAATTTTTTAAGGATAGCAATGCTATTTTCTTTGATGGTACTAATTTTGACCTCTATTTTTAGCTTTACTATTTATATAGTTAAAGATTGACCTGCATTTATTGATGTACAAAAGAAAAGGGTAAACAATACAGTTAATACAACAAGCAGAATCAACCAAATATATCACTGAGAAATAATAATAAAATACATTATCCAACAAAAGAAAAATTAAAGTACAAATCAAAAGTAGAATAAAATATATTCCATAAGACCACATCCTTTTCATTGTCTAATTTCGCCTCCCTCATGGTTTAGGTATACTCATTTCTTCCTACTTTATGTCTTTCATACACTGCCTGAGATCTATGTCTTCGGAATCTTTTCCAAAGAATTTGCATGTTTCTCTCATTTTCACGCATTTATCATTAAACCATTTCTTGCTTCAGTTTTGAATCTTGATATAAACTATTCTACTTTTTTCGTAGACCGCAAAATTTTGGATATTGCACATCAAAGTTCAAATCGCTAAGGAGCGTTTCCCAGTTTATGTCATCAAAGAATCTTTAAGGCTTCTATAATCACCTCTTTATGCTTCTACTGAAATCCGTCTGCTAAACGAAAACAAAAGACCGACGGACAATGACGTCACTACAGATTTTTTTCTTCTGAAGGCCGTATTTTTGCTATCTTGTATGACTACAGATGTTTTGATGCAAAAAAAGTGTTAAAAACAATAATGAGATATTTTCCCATGTTCAGATGAATTAAGCACGAAAATTGCTGAAACCATCCTGTTATGAACTGATATGGTGTGGCAGATCGAACGTCATCGCGGCGGAAATTTCATCCGAATGTCACTTCAGCAGGCCTTCTGGCTGGGCATCATCAAATGCAGAGCCACATTCCCATTGAATCCCTTTAAACCTCAAGCCCTACAACACACTCACTGTGAATAGCCGTATGCTTTTAGATAAATCAAGTTTACAGGTTCTATTTCGCATTCTTAACTTATACATCTAATACATTTTCTATGAAGAGACGCGACTGCATGTTATGTTGTTGAATGTTACGGGTCACGTAACTGGCTTGAGTTTATTGTATTTAGTGTAATGCAGTGCAATAAACAAGAAAGTAACGCAGGGAATCTTTTAATCACGACTTTGATCATACCCACTGCAACTGCAATCTAATATCCATCTGTTTATAATAGTGTATGGTCCAATATTATTATTTATATCTGTTTTCTTTATCATCTGATGTTTAGAGAACGGCAGAAATGTTGCTACGGAAAAACTGACAGCCCTTGGTCGACATAATCTTAAATAACGGAGACAAGACCAATTCGTTAAGGCGTTTGTGGAGCCGCAATTGCCCACATGTTTGTAAGATTGGTGTTTAGATAGGAATATGTAGCATATTTATTTAAATAAGGCGATGATGGTGGGGTGGTTCAGACCTGCGGCGTTGGGGGGGTGGGTCGTACGTTAGCATTTAATGAAATCCTACTCATGATTAGTATTGCGCATAACTAACATCAGAGCCAAGGCTGTGGACTTCACTATGCCACTTAGGACCATATAAGAGTGCTTGGGTAAGGCTCTACACCACCCGTAGGAAAAACACATCCGGTGTAGGCTTCGAAGCCGTGACCCTCTGATTACGAGTGTCAAACTGTCGACTAGCGTGTGCTAGGTCAGTAGCAAAGCACATGGGGTTTAATATTCATTTTGGTAAATTTTCAATAAGGATGAAAAATTATTATTTTAATGGTCATATTTTTAATGAACAGTCATCAAAACAGCCTTGTGGATGAGAAGAGTGGGCGATTATGTTTATGCATGATTCTCAAGTGAAATTGCTCGTAGTTGGAGTCAAGCCAAAGGCCTGTATTTTTTACTCAGCTTGAGGGAATTAAGTATAGCTACTTTTATTAATACCTCCATGCACTTAATGAATGAATGAGAGATATTTTAATTGATATGTAGGATACCAGGCCAGCCTATTTTTAGAACAGCACATGTTCATGTTTATATTTTGTAAAATATCCAACATTGTTAAAGTTTCAATGGCTTTCCAGGCATTTTCGACTTCATAAAGTCTTGTTGGCCTGTTATCCTACACATTAAGTAAATATCTTTCATTCCTTCATTGAGTGCATGGAGGTGTTAATAAAAGTAGGTATACTTAATTCCTTCAAGCTGAGTAAAAAAAAAATACAGGTCTTTAGCTTGACTCCCACTGCGAGCATTTCCACTTGAGAATCACTCATGAAGTCAACTCAACCAGGTGATGGATATTGTCGGGGTTTAAGCGAAGGGCTTCCCATAATTCATTTACACTCGTGAACATTTCTCTCCTACATCTGACTTGGTGTCCCAACCACGGTTTGCTAAAATGGACCCACATCTTCTCAAAGGGAGTGAGGTCTGGTGATTTTGCAGACCAGTTAATGAGTGTAACCCCAGGGTGTCCCACAAGCCAGTCCCGCACAGTCCGTTTTGTGTGGATAGGACTATTATCATGGGCCAAACATATATGAAATCTGTCTCCTGTGCATTCCGCCCTCAGAGACGAGAGTAGCACATTTTCTAAGATGTCAACATATCCCTCAGCCCGGAGACGGCCCTTTGTCTCTGCCAGTTGCCAGCGCAGCCCCACGCCATCCAACCCCAGAGACCAAGACAACAGTCATGTAATAACAACTGCCTGGTTATCGTCCTTGAATAGGAAAGACTTTGGTCACTTGCTATGGGTGAGAGGGGAGGGGGAGAGGGAAGAAGAAAAGGAGGGAGAGAGGGAAGGAGGACGGGAGGGAGAGAAGCAGAGACATACAAAGAGAAAGATAGTGTGTGAATGAGAGAGAGAGAGAGAGAGAGAGAAGGAAGGGGAAGACAAGAGAATAGAATAAAAGAGAGAAAAAAGATGGGAAGAGAGAAAACAAGAGAAAGACAAAGGAGAGAAGAAATGAAAAAAGGTGAGAACAAGACAAAGCGGAGAAGAGAAGAGACTCATATCACCAAACACCCTAAGAAAAAGGTAAACGATTTGTCACCTACCAAACATTTGACAAACAACCTCCTCCACACACAGGAACACACACACAAACGTTTTTGTGTGGTCCTACTGATAATGGTTTGTATCAGAGCTCGATCAAAGACCCGGGATTTGTATGAACCATTTTCGGAGCAGTGGCATATGAGGTTTCCACGCCTGCTAACCACGATGCTCTATCTATGGATGGCTTTTCTTAAAGATTTATACATTTCATTTGTCCATCGGTCACAATCGCGACACGACTTTAGACCGCACTGTACACTGTGGTTATTATTATGTTTACCCCGTCAATTGCCCTCCGTTCCACTATTTTTAACTGCTTTGTAATAATTCGTTTCCGTGTTGATATTGCTACCCTCCCTCCATTTCCATTTGCCCTGTTACATCGCCAATGGAGGGATCTGGTTTATTCGTTTCAAGTATAGTCTTTGGTTCTAACAATTTCGAAGATAAACCATTTACATGTGTATTAGCTAGTTCTGCATAATCTTTCGCTATTCCTTTTGGCTCCAAGGTTAATGTTTGTCTGCTTCTACATTTTAGTTCCGATACTATATTTGCCTTGGAGACCTCTCGCCCTCTAAATAAACAGTTTTTTTTTTCGTCAGTCCTTTGTTCATATATGATCTTCCATTTTTTTTCCGCATATTAGATCATATTTTCTCATCCAGATTTTCTTATATTCTCCATGGATGTACAGGACTTTGGCTTTCTTTATTGCATCAGTCACCATTTGCTTATTCATGAATGCTACTTTTAAAGAGTTTTCTTTCCCTTCTCGAACAATCCCTGCCTCCTGCGAGCTATGACATTCTGTCTGCTCCGCGGACTTTGAAAATGTTTACAATCAATTTCTTGTCCTCGTTGTATCGTTCATTTCTGTCTTCTATAACTTTTTCTTCGTGTCCCAATATGACTACGTCCTTGTTTACATCAGCCATATTAGCGATATTCTTTGCTTGTTGCTCAAGGTGTGTCTTAAAATATTTTTTTCTTTACCGTCTTAATATCTTAATGTCCTTTTTCTTTTTTTTTCATCTCATTTGCTGTTTCGTTCACCTTTGACACATCGTCATATGTAGCTGTCATCTTTTTTGCCTCTTCCGTTATTTGAGCCTGGCTCCCTGACTAATTGCTTTCAATCTGCTTGAACTGCTTCCTGTACTTAATCAACTTTTCCGTGCTCATTATTTGCTTCGATTCGACTATCGTTGCCAATCTTGGTTTCTACTTCTATCTTTTCCTCGAGTTCATTGATTTTCATGAGAGACTTTTCTATCTTCTCTCCCTAAATGATTGTGTTCCTGCGCATGATCTACCATTAAACCCAGCTATATCTATATCATATTACTATATTCTACATATTTATATCTTACATGTTTGTCACATATGTATCTTCACACATACATACACATATGCATATACGCCTGCCCATTGCTTCCCCAGCTTATTTCTCTCTTCTTGCCACACTAGACATCCTAATGACGTGTTGTCTATCCCCTTCCGCAAGAGCTATGTAGCGATGTAACGCTTGCTTATTCGTCACCGGTTGTCACATGCTAACAACGTGACTTATCGCGATCCTTAGACTACTGTAGGAGACGACTTGGAGACTCCCTGCGTGGGGCCAAGGAGCAACACCTCGCTTTGAGGAGCAGCCACACTCCAACATTACTATTCAATAAAGGAGTCAAGACATCTTGGTTCTCTGCTTTAAACCCTAAGCTCGCCATCTACCGAACTCTTGTAGAGCCCAGGGGTCGGATTCTCAAACGTGTTAAGGCGCCGCGTCATATCTCTTTAAGGCGCCTTAACTAACGGCCGAACGATCTTACAACCCAGTTATAGAACAAGGAAATTGCCATAATGGTGCTAGTCAAGGCACCTTAGGTTAAAGGGTTTATGTGAAGTAATTATCGTGCATTGTTTTTTCCTTGAATATTGGTCAGTAATGTATGCTTAGCCTATTCATGGAAAAAAAATCGGACACCTGTCAGTTTATTTTGCTCACTATGTCTGTCTATCTGTGTATCTCTCATTTTATGTGTGTGTGTGTGTGGATAGGGAGATTGTGTGTGTCCCTCTCTTTTCCTTTACCTTTCCATTCACTTTTCCTGGTTTATTAAAATAATCTGCATTTGACACATTTTGTTTTCTTTCTTTTCCATCCCTGGCATTTCTCTCTCTCTCTCTCTCTCTCTCTCTCTCTCTCTCTCTCTCTCTCTCTCCTTCTCTTTTTCACATGCTATCTCTATCATAGCATGTGATATTCATCTTTTTCCTTTTATCATTATAATTACTACTACAACTTCAACTGTTTTTATCATCAATGGTTATCATAAATTGCCCAGAGAAGATAAAATACATAATAACAAAATTATGAAGAGGTGAATCTTGATGTAATCAGTACATGAATATATGCATCAAATCATTTATAAATAATTAATAAAATAAGCGCTGGGTAAGCCTGACAGACAGGCCGCCTATCATCAGTCACATCAATATAACATGATTAGGAACATGCTATTTTCTGCTTTCTCAAGAACTCTATCATCAGCTGATGTCTGATCCAATATGGATTGATACACAGAGGTAAGGTAGGTACACCCCAAAAAGCACAACACAAATAAATACCGATGCCCCTCCACTCGCGAAGGAATGTAGGCTTGTGCAACGGGTGCAGACAAGAAATTGCTCAGCCTACGGCAATTTTGTACAATATAGAAGCGGGATCACACGTACGACCATAAAAAAATATTTAGAAAATCACCATTCATTCAATGTCTTCGAGTCTCGACGCCACTCCATGTCTGGCTGGTTTGGCACAACTTCGATTTCATCCACAGCGTCGGGCTCGTGCATGTACGGTCCAACAACCATCAATCCTTGATATTCCTCTTCTTCCAACTCTTCGAAGACGTAGGCACCCTCTGAAGAACTTCTACCAATGTCCTCGTCGGAATAATCCGATGAAACACTGCCGCTGTAGTCTTGTAGTGAGTCCGCCACATACACTAAATGCAGAGAATGCTGTGATCGTGTTCTGGAATTGACGTCACACATCCGGGTTCCGAGATTTTCGTGGGAAAATATAACTTGACTTCGGAAAATCGAAATAAATCAATAAATTCTCAATTTGGGATATTATTTTCCGATTTCCTTTTTTACTGATGTTAGAGAGATAGTTTGCGAGCTATTTTTCCCTATTTAAAATTTTGTTTGATACTCCACATAAGCCCTTTAAGGCAGGGGAGAGCAGCCTTTGGCGTTTTACGGCGGGCGGGAAATCGACACTCTTCGCTCTTATACAAGGGAAATACAGCAGGACGGATAAGGCCTGCAGCGCGCCTGAATTAATGGCTCTTTTGAGAATCTGGCCCCAGCATGCGGACTCTTATATAGTACTTGCTTCAAGTTTACGTTTTCTTCACGAATTTTCAGGCTTTCTGCTACCATGTTTTCTACCTTGACTTCAAGAGCCTCAGTTCTAACTGCTACTCCCTCTAACTTCATTTTCTTGGTCTAATCTTAGTTGTTCCTCATTAAACAAACACAAAACTGAGCTGTTCTCACGGCAGTAGTCTCAAGGCACGAAAGTCATGGTTTACAGACAAGACCACCCATTGCTTGATCTCCGTAATTAACATGCAAGAGTTGTACTGCAGTGTGTGCGTGCGTGAGCCCGTGCGTGTGCTTGTGTGCGCCTCACGTTATCCTTATACTTAGGATAAGACATTTACGCTCACTGGGGCAACCCAAAGGCCTCGGGTATATAAGTACTATATAAATACCTCAGTCTATGTCACGCTTCTCTGACTATCGCAACACATTTTCTCAATACATTCTACGGCCGTAAGCCTTGCTCTCCTCCCGCTCCTTATAAGGTGCGAATACCTTACCAACTTCTCGATTACATCTGTATAAAGAGGGTCGAGTGCGAGCGACAAGCAGACAGCCTACACCACCCTGGCCGGACTGAATCTCTGCCCACCACTTGCATCTCTCTTCAAGCCAATAAACCTAGTGAAACTTTATCAAGACGTCCGCTCATCCTTCATCGCTTCCAAGTTCACAATTTCCTGCCTGATGCAGCCTGACAACACTTTGCCGCAAATTCGGCTTCGTCTACAGCGTGTGTGTGTGTGAGTGTGAGTGTGAGTGTGAGTGTGAGTGTGAGTGTGAGTGTGAGTGTGAGTGAGAGTGAGTGAGTGTGTGTGTGTGTGTGTGTGTGTGTGTGTGTGTGTGTGTGTGTGTGTGTGTGTGTGTGTGTGTGTGCGTGCGCACGTGTGTGTATGTGCGCGCACTGTGTATGTGCGCGCACGTGTGTGTGTATGTGCGCGCACGTGTGTGTATGTGCGTGCATGTGTGTGTATGTGCGCGCGCGTGTGTGTGCCTGTGTGTATGTGCGCGCACGTGTGTGTGTATGAGCGTGTGCGTGTGTCAATGTGTGTGCGAGTGTCAATATGTATGTGTATGTGCGTGTGCGTGTGTCAATGTGTGTGCGAGAGTCAATATGTGTGTGTGTGTGGGATTTGGATTTAGATTTGGTTTAGGTTTGTGTGTGTGTGTGTGTGTGTGTGTGTGTGTGTGTGTGTGTGTGTGTGTGTGTGTGTGTGTGTGTGTGTGTGTGTGTGTGTGTGTGTGTGTGTATGTGTGTGTGTGTTTGTGCACGTGTATATGTGAGTGTATTTATGTGTCTATATACATGTCATTATATAAGTGGGGGCATTCAAATATATACTTGGTACATTAGCATGGAAACTTATCATTAAGGTATTAAATACAAAGGAAATATTCACTTATAAAATGTTTTTAATAATCAACATAAATAATATTTCAGTTTAGCTATACAATTCTATTTATGATAATCAAATCACATTTCTTGAAAGAATATGATACATCTATCCAAAAAATAAGAACCTGGATTATATCACAAAAACTGTAATAGACTATGATTCATTATACTAATACCAGCCAATAACTCTATAAATGACATCACATCTTAATATAGGACATTTAGATATAGTATATATTCCATCAATTGAAGAATAATTCTATAAAAGAACAATTTACAGTATAGTGTGCAATACACATCAATGAAAACACAGAATACTGAATAGTCTGATACCTAATGAAAAAAATCTGTTTACAAAAATAAGCTACCACAACCTTGGTTCCCAGGTCAAGTGTTAGCACCTCAACCAGTCTGCTCAGCTGATCCATTTATAAACTTATCTATTCCCAAAGTGAAGTAATGTTAAAACTGTTCCAGTGCCTTCGCAGATAATAATCACATAATAAACATGAATCCTTGCCTGTAGCATAATCAGTATACAGAGTACTCCTTTTTGTAATTGTTCTCCAAATAAATAAGCCCTTAAAACACATGTACTTCAACATATAAAATCAACATTAATGATAATAACATTACAAGATTCTACTGCCAACATCATCCTGTATATATCTTGATCCTTTCTCAGATTATCCTTTGCGATCCCCAAATATGCGCAGCAGCTCAAGGAAGAGATTAAGGATGTCTAGGTACAGGTTGATAGTTGCAAGTATGTATTCTTCTGGGGACAATTTCTCCATCATCATCTGTCAAATAGAGCATATTATCATATCTTGTATGACAGGAACTGAGGGAATGAGTAAGTGTGGTGAATGAATAAAGACTCTGCCTTTCATATTATGATAAATACACAAGAAAAAAAGAGAAATAAAAAAGTAAGACATCTATTTAAAAAATATAGAAAGATTGAAAAATCTATCTTGTCATTGTCTTGTACCTTCAATCAAGGTAATAAAAATAATCATCTTTTCCTCGAACTTCCATTATGCTAATAATCTTGTAAACCCTCACAAATACTCGTAAAAAATATTAATCCTCATCTTACCTGAGTGTCATATACAATGAAGAGACAGAAGATGAGAGCTCCAAAGCCAGACAATACCAGTTCCAGGCCTGTGCTTCCAAGAAACATGTTCATGAACCCTACGCCAATCAAGATAATCAGAGTGATCATCAACCTGTTGATAGAAATGTCATTATTAACCAGAGAGAGAAGTAATGCTTACGCCATATAAATCACTACCAGGTTAGGGGTCAATGAATATAAAAAAAACTATATTTCTGCAAATCAAGGAAAACGGTCAACTGATGAGATCGGTGGCTAGATCCTTCTACATTTGTATACACAATAAATAAACAGAAAACAACAGTGGATATGACAAGTATGGACATGTCATCCCCATCAGCATTGGGCTTATTCCATTTATACATAGATGGCTCTACAAGTACTTAATCACCAAGGAGTCTATTTTTTGTCCTACCCATCTCACTTGTTAAGCTTTTCTTTTGATTTTTGAAAGATACTGTTTTCTTTGTTTTCATTGTTATCAGTATTTCAATAACATTATGATAATCATATTGTCAATGATAATAATAACAATAACAGTACAAATATGAATAACCTTAAGAGGAAAAAAAAAAAAAACTCAAGGAATGGGGAATCCAGGGCCTATTAATTGACTACAGTCTAAAATGTATGTACCTGCAGCCATTTTTTATGAGCAAGAGGGATGTGCTTTTTAGCCTTTAATTTTCATTTGCCATAAACCCCCAGCCAAATTATCATGGCAATGAGATTAACAGAACTCAAACATAAAAAATATCTCCAAGAAAGACACTTTTCATTACTTGCTTATGCATGATTTGACAAGAACTAAGCTTAATCAATTTGTTGCATCTGAATTAAATGAATAACAATATAAATCTTACATGTTCCTTCATTTGAATTTTTTAACATTTTTATTTGAGTATCTTTAAAAATCTATCTTTAATAAATCAACATATTACAATAGAAAATATTAATATCTTTCAAGCATAAGTACTTATCTATTCAATATCAATTCCAGTGCAATTCAATGACCTGTTCTTTTATATTTGTTCACTATTATCCCAGGTCAGTTCCAATTCACTGTTTTTTGTAATACATTTGAATTCACATCATTATAAACATCAGCCCTACACTACAAAACTGAACTTGAAAAGTGATTTTAGACCTGTATCTTCTTATGCATACTTTCTTGTTAGAGTTAACATACCTCATCCAGAATTGGACCCAAACTTGTACCTTTTAGCTAAAGGTATATTCATATTCATAATCAAGTTCCTTTACAACCACAACTATTCATGTTGTTTGAGAAATTATATATCCCAAAGATTTCTCATACATGCCTCTGACTGAAAATGACTGCATTATGGGCCAAGAAAATAAAATTTCAAAAATGGTATCTAAGCTTACCCAGCACCCATTTTGGTGAAATCCCTCTTTGTTTGGAAGGTGTAAGCAGTGAGTCCAAAGGTGATGGCCAGAGTCAGGACAAATACTTTCACTACTGATTCGGCTTCATACATGCTCACAGCTACTCCCACAGTTATGGATTCAATAATAGTAAATGCTCCAAGAAGCAAGAAGTTGACAGGTACATGATGTCTGAAATATCAAAACTTTGTGAGTACATGCTGGGTATAACAAAAGTATTCTTATTAATCATTTAACCTCATATTATTCACATGATTATCAGATCATTTTTGAAACCCTGCCAACCTACCACCTAAGTTTGTCCTGCGAAAGACAAAAACTTATTATAAAACAGGTACCTTTTCACATGAAGTGCTATCAGCACTCCCAGAGCTAAAGGAAGACACATGATGAGAAGCCATGGATTGGCATGGATGGTATCCTTCAGAACAGGTGTGTAGGCACATGTTGCAGCAACAACGGTGGTGACCAACAACTGGACAGAGAGTAGGCCATAGACCTTCCTTAAGAAGCCTGAAAGGAGTTTTGAAATTGTCAAGACATTATCCTTCTTGTGGAGACAGAGGGAAAAGGAGGGGGAGGAATCTTTGAATGGATGAACAAGTGAATATGTAGCGTTCGCTAATTAATATTAGTACCTGGCTCAAAGAGATGTAAAGCTGATTGATACGTTCGGGAACGAGTGTATTGTGAAGGGATGCTGTGTTAAAAGAATTGTGGAAAGGAGCGACAGTAGTGTATGTATGTGTGTGTGTGTGTGAAGTGTCGTTGTGCAAATGAGCCAAAGGGAGTGTAAGCGTGGTTGAAATCCCGAGGAGAGGCGTGTATAGATGCTTTATCTATACTTTAGGGTTTTAGATTGTTTAGACAATGACATAAAACAGACATAAAACAGTAAACACAAGCACTATAAAAAATAAAAAATAAAATAGAGAACCACCTTTTCTCACGTATACATGACCTTAATTACTTAGCTCTCTATTGCCGAGACCATATTTCCTGTGCACCAAAACCTCTCGAGTCCAGCCCTGGAACCTGGGACTCTGGAACTCTACCATGAGCTCGTGCGCAGGGCCGGGAACTTTCCCTTGTCACCTCGGCCCGCGAAATAATATTGGTTCTCTTGTGGTTGTGTAAGATTATTTTTTCCAAAATCATTAAAATAGCTTTTCCATATTCATTAAAAATATTCAAAGTTCCATTTATAAAATAGATAAAAAGTTTCATGAAAATAAGAGAGAATAAAATGATAAATACGAACCATGATGTAAAATGTATGATAAAAAAAAATAAATGTTTTATAAAATATTCATAAAATGTTCAATAGAAAGTTCCATGGTATTTCATAGAAATAATTAAAGATCATAAAATGTTTCTTTCAGTAATGATTTTTCTTGGTGGTCAGTTTTTTCTCGGCATAGGGCTCATTTTAAACACATCATAAAAAATGTTTATTAAAATAACACAAACACAGTAAAAAATAAAACGGTAAAACAAAAGAAAAAACAATGGAGCCGCGCAGGTGAGTCCCTCCAGGTGTGCTTCCCGTTTTCTGTGGGCCGCAGCCTCCTCACCGCGACGGGCATCTTCACCCCCAGGGGATAAAAACAGGGTTTGTGGGTGAGCCAGGAGACGGAAAAAGACAGGACTTCCGCCGTGGAGCGAGGGTGGATATGACCCTTCATCTCAAAAAAGACGGGGGCGAAAGAGACATGTAGGGGACCGCTGGGGACGGATACAGGCGGTCTACTACAAATGAACCCCATCATAAATGCACAAACTGCCACAGAGACTGCCAAAAAAATTTCTAACCAGGTGGCTTTGCCCCCAGACACCATTCTGATTTCTGTTTAAATATTACTATGCATATGTGAAAATAATGATCATGTAATTATCAATGCTCACTTTTCCTAATTTATCTATTCCATGCATTTTTCTATCATTATTATACTTCTTTAACATATCACAATTTACACAAATTTTAACAATAGCCTTCAGCCCATGCATATTTTACAACTGGGATATTTGACAGTGCTGGGAGATTCCGTTCCTTGACAAACACAAGCAAGAAATATTTACTTTTCAATGTTGTGTCAATTCCGGGTTATTTATAAAACCATATAGTGGCTATGCCAATGAAATAAACATTAGTAGCTAACAATCACAGTTTGATATTTGAGCCCATCAAGTGCCCACAGGAGTCTAGGGGACAGAGCCTCCTGACTAGAAACTGCACTGAGTTAACTGTATAAATCCCACGGGGGCTAGGAGGTTAGGTTGAATTATTGGTTAGGAATTATTGTACAAAGACAACAGGAGTTTGGATGCTATAAATTCCCATAGATTTTACTGGAAGATTGGTTGGATGCCAGTAAATTTTTCTGAAAATTGGCACATCTGCCTGCAGTCTCTCCAAGACAGTAAATAAGTCTGTACAGTTTTAAAAGCCGTTTATGTGTATTTTGTGGTAGTTTTCTCAAGTTTTGTTCTATATCATTTCTATTTCAGCCTGTTTTACCCTATAATTTCTTTGATATATTTCATGTCCTCCCTTGCTATCAGACCTATCAGATCAAGACTGTCTACTGTGATTGCAATGGAAATTATTCATTGTCATCACGAGTGAATAAATCTGATGTTAAATATTATCTGAGAAGGACTAACAGTCAACCAAAAAATTAACCGAGGAAAATGTTTGTGAGGGCCAGGCCTATAAGCCACACACCTAGGAGTTGCCACTCAAATAAGCCTAGTGCCCAGATTTTAAGTGCTTGTGAAAATGATTTATTTTCTATCTATACCCACCCATTCCACTATATTTGGGCATCTTGTACATTTATGTAGTATCATAAAAACAAAATATACTTGTTATGAATTATTTTGGATTTTTTGTTATAACAAGTTTTTGCACATGCGTGTTTTCCTAATTGGGATTTTTGACAATCCCTTAACTATTCTTTGACAGTCACCAGTATGTTTCATGCTGAGTGTGACCTTGGCTATAGTTCTTTTTTTAGCCAATATAGTGGACATTCAGTGAAATACTGACACGGTGTGTTAAGTGTGAACCTGTCAATTTTGCAAAGTGTGGAAATAAGAGCAGCATTGATTAAAACACCAAACAATTCAGTTGTCATCAAACATACATTGTAGAAAAAAAAAAAAAAAAAAACTGGAAAAACGTAGGAGTAATTTTGCAATCTTAACCCATTCGTCCCGGGTGTCACATATATGAGACACAGGGGAAAAATAAACAGTGTCGGGCTGCCCGCCAGTGCGATGCTGTCTTGGAGCTGCGCTCCGCGGCAGAAGCGGCGCGCGGCCGGGCGGGCAGACAGACTCCGGGGAAGCTCCGCCCGCCGATTTTGTAGCTGCCCGGATTTTTTTAATTTTGGCTACAAAATGTACCCGGCCCGGGTGGGTTAATTTTCAAAGGTACTTGGTTTAGTAAAGGTAAATTAGACACTGAGGTCAATTGACTATTCTGCAATCTATATCTATGCGAGTGATTTCAATATCAAAGTATCCAAGATGATCTTGACCTCTTTGACAAAGCTATTTGTGACTGGGCATGTTTTATATATGGTGCTGACTGCCTGGAGTTTTGAAAATAGTAAATTTTGAAATTTAGCCTATAGACTTTGAAAGCTGGAGTCTGGCCAATATACTTTGGTTATGGTGGGCATTTCTGTAGTTCTCTTTTCAAGTGTTATGTGGTTTCATTATGATTTTTACATGTATTTGTTATAATATGATTAAATCTCAGCCTGTTTTATATAATTCATGCCCTCCTCTGCTATCAGGACTATCAGATGAAGATTGTTGGTTGTATTTAGTATTGCACCAATTGAAATCACAACATATCTACAGAGCTCAGAGTATTTCTCAATGGGAAATACATATTTGTCTTAGATAGAATTACCTGTATTTACATTATGCACCAATCTGGCAAAAAGTAATCCCAGATTTAACAGCAGAATTGTTGGCTGTAATTCTATTGGTGAAAAATTACTCCCAATTTCAACAAACACATTTTAAAGCTATTTAAGTATTTTTGTTTGGTTTTGCTTTGTGTAAATCATGCTAATTCTTCCCAAGAGCACAGTACAAAGCCAATGCTTACACATTCTAACGACTTTGCCATTGGGAAATACAAGTAACAACACGTCAATGAGTAAAATTTGACAGAAAAGATAACCTAAGTGGTAATTGTCAACTATCTTAACATAATTTGTGCATCTCGTTTCCATATATTTTGGGTTATTCATATCATTGATTCAGTTTCCTGTCCAAAGTTTCTATCGCTTCTCAGCTGCTGGATGATAAGCACGTCTTTGCCTACTTTTTTGTTTACTTTTTTATCCAAGGCTATACTCAGTAGTTTTAAGGCAAAAATTGTAGTTTGACTTGAATGAATGTTACAGCAGGATTTATATATCATAGTTACATCTCTAGTACTATTGGTCATAATGAGAATCTGTAAAGGGAAAATTATCAACATCAAAATATCCTTACCCATACGAATGTAGATGTGGCTACCAGCAACATTATTGCTGTACATGAAATCATTCGCAATTCCTCCTTTTTCCCCTTGGCTCAGGTTCTGCGGTATAAGTAGTGGCGTCGACATGATGGTTGAATGCCGTTTGTCTCGAAACGGCCTTCTGTCGTGAAAAGTGAAAGAGGAATAGAAGATGTTTAGCACCTCCTTGACGTTCCAGGAGATGACTGACGTCACGACAGGATTGCGTCCGAATCGCTTGGCGAGTTTTTGGGAAGATGTCGTCCTTTTTTAGGTTTATTCTTACATATATGTATGTTTTAATTTATTTTCCATATAGCCTTTTTGCGTATTTCTCTGTTTCATTTCTAGAAAAGACACTCACAGGTTGGTTTAGTGTCATTCGATGGAAATTAACACTTTCAGAAGAAAGTCTGCTTTACATTCACCAATGAGTGAAGTATAAATGTAATGATAACGATGAAGAATTAACAGGAGAATTAAATTTTAAACACACTCATTATTTTCAAGGAACGTAATTTCTCCATATATCATTATCTATAGAGAATCCTCCTCAGCTGCCACATCAACATGACGTCAACAACAACAACAACAACAATGGAGGAACCGCTGTGGGACCCTCGCAATTTGACGTCTCTAGAGGACATCAAGGAAGCCTATGATAGATTGTGCAAGGAAGAGGTAAGACAAATAACATCGTATATGCTGTGAACTCGTGGTCATAAATTCAAGGTAATTAATACATGTATATGTTGCGTATGGACAACGTATTAGAAGGAGTTATATCAATGACAGTTTTTTTATTGGAGCCTGAAAAATAATATATTTTCCAATCGGGCTTATTTGGGTAACTATCAAACTGTCATATTTCAATCCTAACTTAGAGATAATACATTCCCTAAAAGGAGAGTGCAAGCCTCTTCGATGGAATTTGATTTTATAAATTGAAGTGATAAGTTAGAGTATATTTGTAAGACTAAAGGTACACTGGGTACACTGCATATTCCTAATCAAGCGTGTGTAACACTTTTCTCCAATAACTGTGTTCAAAGATCTGGAACTTAATGCTTGGAGCCCATGCATTAAAGTCTGAGCAACATCATTTATTAAAAACATGACCTTGCTGTATCACCCACAAACCAGTTGGCCAGCTTAAGGTTGTTGGCAGTAGACTACAAGCAACGATGCATAGAAAATAAGATCTAAGTAATAACTTCTTACACACTTCTCCTGGTCTGTAGAATTTGTTTTTCCACACTTACCTAGGACCTGTAGTAGGCTGACCAAGGCTGGTGGTAGTACATTGCCAATCCAGAGTTTGGCTGGCTGTATACTAGTGCAATGTTTGTCTAGGATTTTCGTAAGGCTGATTAAAGTAGCTTCAATGAATCTGCTCTTATGAGCTACATTTTCATATGTTAATGTTTCCTTACTTATTCTATTCACACATTATACAATTTTTTCTTATCTTGATAGGTTGGTGTTGCCGAACGTTTGGAATGGAGTGTTGGCAACCGTCATCATCTAGAGGCAAGGCTGTCTCAGCTGGCAAGATTAGTTCCAACACTTCAGTTAGTCCAGGCTGATGCAAGACAGCTGGAAAATACCATTTCATTTACTCATCAGTTAGCTAATAATGTGTCTGCCAAAGTGAGGCAGTTGGATTTGGCTAAGGTTTGTTTTTTTTATTTTATCCTTATGTTTATTCATGATCTGTGGGATCACAAAGACTTACAAAATAGCCAAAGATTATGAAATATTAAATATATTGTCCTTGGAATTATTTGTTTCAGAGTCGTGTTGTGGAGACTCAGAAGAGAGTTGGTGATCTGTTAGATCTGGAAGGCTGCAGTGGTGGTGTAGCCACTGCTCTGGCTCAGGAGGGTAATATGAAGTTTTTGAGTTATTTGTTACTAAAGATGATAACATTTTGAAGTCATTCATCATTAGAATAAAATGTCTCAATTATATGATTTCTGGTTAGTAATATTTAGAAACTCGTATGTTGTCTGTGTGTTTTTTAGATTACGAAACTGCAGCAGCACATATCCATAGATTCTTAGCTATGGACGAGACCCTTTTACTTCACACAACTGATTCTTCAAGTAAAGGTAAGTGCCATCTGATATGATATGAATTTATTAAAATAATCACTTCTACAGAATAGTTTTTATTATGTTTTGCTTTTTTTGTCAGCATCATTCTTTACTAGTACATAATAAAATTCATGTTTGAGATAATTTTTTAATTAAAGCTGAAAGTGTTGAGACCTGGTTCGACCGGCTACGGCAAGCTGAGAGGGAACTCAATGCACTGATAACCAGAAAGTTTGATGATGCAGTCAAAAGTGAAGATATGGCGAGTGTTGATAGATTCTTCAAACTTTTCCCTCTTCTAAATAAACATGATGAAGGCCTAAAGAAATTTACTACGTACCTATGTGTAAAGGTAGGTTGTGTTCTAATCACGCATTAGAAATAGATTCATTTGTTATATTACATTGTATTGGGATTTATCATTTAAATGTTTATATCTGCCTATTTGTCAATAAGTATTGAATTAGAATAGCTGATGTGTATATGATAATTGCTTGTTTATTTTATATTCTATATAGATTCAGGAGTCTACAGCACAACACCTGACAACAGCGCAAACCCAGGGGCCAAGAGAAAAGCGATCTCATGTCATCTGGGCTGACACCATTACCCTGCTCTTTGAGGGAATAGCAAGGACAATTGAAGTCAGACAGCCCATTATTGAAACTTATTATGGTAAGTTTAGAGTTTTATTCTTAAGGGGATATGTGGTACCTAGGGGCAAGGTAGTATATTCAAAATATAGCATTTTACAACATTGCATTCTACATGTTTGTATACATATATAAATACTCCACAAGCAATATTTTCACCATATCATACAATTCAAATGTTTGATGTGGGTTTAAATGTACAAAGGTTCTTACACACTTGAGAAAATGTGGCAGGTTGGGACAATCTATGCACATAGAATGTAAACAAATTTTCACTGAAATTCTGCTTCACAAGAATCTAGCTGAATGTGTGTTGGTCTAGTAGAGTAAAGAGCACACAGGTGCCACAGAAAAAGCCAGTTATCCTTGAATATTCAGAAGAAGTGCATACTTTTCTCTGAGTGTCTGTGTTTCATCTTGTTTCTGGTTGAATATATCCCTTTTCAATGATTTAGTCACTGCAGACCCCAGGAGTGATGTCTAATATAAACAGACCAACAAAGGCTGTCAAGTAAAGTACTCATAACTAAAATATTTTGATGATTTTTTAATACTATATTATACAGACTAAGACATATTAGAATCATTCACATTGATGAGAAAATAAAGCAGTAACATTTTTTTTTTTTTTTTTTTATGATAGGTTGTATTTCTGTTCTATATATAGATTTTTTTCTTTTGTTTATCTTAGAATATCTAAAATGAATTAGATTTAGATGAAAAATGCCAGGGAATATTGCTATGTGTAAACAGCTCAGGACCTGTGTTTGGACACTGTGGGTTGGAGAAGGAGTAATAAGAAGTAAAGTAGCAAATTTCCAGATTTTACATATTGTTGGAAACACATGATAAAAATAAATGATGGCTTTGCATATGTGTATATTTCAAAATGATTTGCATAGAGCCAAAAAAATAAAATTTGATGAGACAAACTCGTACACATACATGTCTAAGTATGTGTCTACATGTAAGCAAACATTCACTGTTCTGGCTTGAAAAAAGGGAAGCAACATGAATGTCTATTTACCTTTAAAGTTTGAACACAATAGGCCTACTCCAAAGAGTTCAGATAGACCATAGGTGTCACATACCCCTTAATTAAAACTTCATACAAAAGTAAGATAAGTTATTTCATTCAATTTTAGCTTCTACATTTTATTATTTGAGGAACTGGGCTACTATTTACATCTCATTGATGAAACTTGAATTTAGGTTCAGATTTAGTATAGATACTAATATTATCATATATTTAGTATTATTGTTATTATTATTTTATCACTATTATTATTATTGTTGTTGTTGTTGTTCTTCTTCTTCATCTTATTATTATTATTATTATTATTATTATTATTATTATTATTATTATTATTATTATTATTATTATTATTATTATTATTATTGTTATTGTTATTGTTATTGTTATTGTTATTGTTATTGTTATTGTTATTGTTATTATTATTATTATTATTATTATTATTATTATTATTATTATTATTATTATTATTATTATTATTATTATTATTATTATTATTGTTATTATTATTTTATTATTATTGTTATTGTTATTGTTATTGTTATGTTATTGTTATTGTTATTATATTATTATTATAATTATATATAATTATAATTATTTATAAATTATTATATTATAATTATTATATATTATTATAATTAATAATTATTATAATTATTATAATTATATAATTATTATAATTATTATAATTTATAATTATTATAATTATTATATTATTATAATTATTATAATTATTATAATTATTATAATTATTATAATTATTATAATTATTATAATTATTATAATTATTATAATTATTATAATTATTATAATTATTATAATTATTATAATTATTATTATAATTATTATAATTATTATAATTATTATAATTATTATAATTATTTATATTATTATAATTATTATAATTATATAATTATATAATTATTATAATTATTATTAATATTATTATAATTATATAATATTATAATTATTATAATTATTATTATATAATTATAATTAATTATAATAATTATAATAATTATAATATAATAATAATAATAATAATTATTAATAATTATAATAATTATTAATAATTATAATAATTATAATAATTAATAATTATAATAATTATAATAATTTATAATATATAATAATTATATAATTATAATAATTATAATAATTATAATAATTATAATAATTATAATAATTATAATAATAATTATAATAATTATAATAATTTATAATAATTATAATAATTATAATAATATAATAATTATAATAATTATAATAATTATAATAATTATAATAATTATTAATAATATAATAATTATAATCACATAATATAATAATAATAATTATAATAATATATAATAATTATAATAATATAATGAATAATATATATACATAATTATAATAATTATAATAATTATAATAACATAATAATTATAATAATTATAATAATTATAA